CTCTGTATTGTACAGTAGATTAACAAAATTATGCATATTAAACAATCCCAGCCTCTCTTTTCCTTTCTTCCCCTACCTTTCTCCTTTTCTTACCTTTCATTTCCATTTTCTTCTCCTTCYTTTTCATGTATTTGATTTTCTTTTTCTTCCCTTCCCTTCCATTCCTTTCCCCTTTTTCCACTGACTCTTTCCTGGATATTTTTAATCCTTGTCATTTCAGAGACAYCAATTAGAATTCAGGCCTCCCTTCCCATCCTTACAGTTAGAGCTGCACACACATAAAGGTAACTCTAATACACACGTATATATTTTCTGGTGCCCCATGATAATTACAGTGGRTTTTTCCCTGAGAAATGAACATCTGGAACAGATCACCTGACCTTACTGTGGAATTTCTGTTAGGTGAAGTTTCTGGTGCAAACAAATGAACATTTATCTTTTGGAAAAGGAAAAATGGGAATAGACTAAGTTAACTTCTTGAAGTCCTTTCACCTTATTACTCCACCCTTCCAAATTCAAGGCCAGAGATACACGTGGAAAAGCAGAAAAATAATTATCTTTGAAGATCGTATGAAGGTTGCCTGATTTGACCCAAAGAAAGCAAAGCCAGTGGAAGGGAGAGRYTCCTTTTACTTCCATRKASCAYGGACACACACAGGTTAGGTACTTGMTCAAACCAACACRCAATTGCTGCACTTACCCAATTGCTACTTGTACTTGCAAATTTAGAGAAGAAAATGTCAAAAGGTGATTACACATTGCAATGAACAGAAACACCCACATTTCTTTTACTACCACTCATAAGAAGAATGTGTGTAGGAACACGGTTTACTTAATTCCTAGAAGTCACAGTAGGACKGYKGCTGTCCACAAWTTATATCMGATTCACTGGAAAAATATCCAAAAYTCTGGAACACATTAGTATATATTTAAAGYTATATTAACAAAGACTGTATGTACCATAGATTGTAAGCCTAAAACACATGCAGAGTAACTATTACCTTCTATTTTCTTATCACCTGGCAGAAATCTGAACYATAAAATATTAGGTTCCCAATAGTTGTTGAAACCCATGCAATTGTCTCCAGGTTCCCTGTCAGCAGAGCTAACTTTGCTTACATAGTTCAACCAGTACTCAGTGAAYAGATCCCTATTCTCTGTCTCTGGAGGAAAAGGCCAAGTCCATGTTCTTGTCCCAGATCTTAATTACACATCACATGCAAGAACAGAGCAACATTGAAACCTTCCTTAAAAGGCTTGAAAAGACAGCCACCACATGAGAAAGCCCACAGCCCTGTTTAGGAGACACGCTGCTTGGACCCAGCACTTGCAGTTCTCTTGATTTTRGCCTCTAATTCATGAGCTTTTCTCTTTCTACACATGAAAATTTTTGTCTCAGGGCAAAAGCTCAAAAGCTGTTTTGAAAGCAGAGCTTTGTCAGATTCCTATCCTAAATGCCACTCTTGTGAGGGTCTACTTTCCATCACATCAAAGGCTTCCCAACCTCCCAGTTAGAATCAAGAAGTATATGGACTTTTAGACATTTCACTTCATTTCACTACTACAACCCTTGAAGAGCAAATGGGTTTCCTTTAATTTTTTTAGCTTTTCTAATAATTTATTTGCCATGGCAGAACTGCTGCTTACAGTGGTCTGAATGTATGGAGTATTTCTTTTTTGAAGAGGTTTAGTAGCAAACCAAACCTTTTCATCTCCCTAAAATCTCTCTCTACAGTTACTATTCCATCCATGAGTTGAAAAGTTAACCATTTAAAACAGAGTAGGCTAATGTTTTATAACTGTTGATAAAATTTCAAGGAAGGATGACAAAGTTGTTTCTGGGAACAGTTAGGCTGGAGTGAGTTTATTGATGGGTAATTTTACAGATACAACTGCCCCTTACAAACTCAGTAGTATTGAAATATCTCCCAAGAGGACAGGACTATAATGTTTTATAGGTTTTTTTCCAAAGAGAACAAATTAGRCATGAGTCAGCAATGTGCCTTCACAGCAAAGACAGCTAACAGTATCCTGGGAGGCATTAGGAAAARTGATTACAGGTTGAGTGAAATGACCCTTCCCCTCTCAGCCCTGGTTATGGCTGCACCTGGAGTGCAGGGTCCTGTTCTGCGCTTCTCAGTACAAGGCAGACATGGRCTAAGTGGAACAAGTCCAGCAAAGGTCCATAAAGATGGTAAAGGACCAGAGCACCTCTCATATGMGGAGGCTGGAAAAGCTGGGACTGGTCATCTTAGGAAGGATCTCATCAATGTGTATAAACAACCTAACAAAAGGAGGAGAGAAGATAGAGGCAAGCCCGTTTCAGTGGTATCTAGTGAAAGTGCAAGAGGCAACCAGCACAAATTCAATGCAAGAAATATTTTAACAGAAAAAAAAGGTTTTTCACATCAAGGGTAATTGAACRATGCGACAGGTTGCCCAGAGCARTGGTAGAATCTCCATCCTTGGAGATATTCAAAACCTGATGAACATAGACCCTGAGCATCCTGCTTTAGCTGGTCCTGCCTCAAAGAGGTAGTTGGACTAGACAGTCTCCTGACATTTTGTCAATGCCTCAAGTACTCTGTGATTCTGTTTAAAACCAGGTCCATCTTCATAGATGSTACTTTCTACCTGAATCCACTATATAGTGAAAATCTGAAGTACGGAAAGTTAGTGAGATCTGTGGGAACTTCACAGAAGCACCACCAAGCAGCTTCAACAAAGTAAACACACTGAACTCAGGTTATGTAAAWTTTTTCTTTTGTAATAAAACATTCATTGGAAAAGCTCAATTATGGTCTTTATAAATACTCATATAAATACATTTTTAATGATTTCTTAAGCTAAAATAACCTCAAAATCTGTCAACATGACACTGCTTCTAGCATCTAAATAAGAATGAATTATCTATTTTAAAAATATAAAAAATTTGCATTGCTAGAAGTTGAATATCCACCCACCTCTACTCACTGAAAACCCAATTGTTAAAAAGGTGTGTGTGGGTTCCAGCTGAATGCCTTACCAYCATGAAACCAAACCAAACTCAAGGCAATCATTTGCCCTCTAGTTACTGATGTCCTCTATAGCAGAACCCCCTGCCTCTCCCAACACATAGATTATACTAAAATTATTAAGATTATACTATTTAGTGCACTGAATAGTAAAGGAAATTAACAAGGAACTTGTTGCCAACCATTTAAAATGTAAATGCTTTAAAATAGTCACAATCTCAAATTTGAATTTAGTCAGAAGAGGTGGCATGCATCCTGTGAGTTAGGTCAAATACACTTTACAAGACTGTTTCTGAGAGAAGTCCACCCCTCTTCCTCTAAGTCCACTCTAACCCTAAGAATGCAACCCTAAATGGAGAGCTTAAAAAGAGTAATAATAAGTAGACAAAAATTTTGGTGCCCTGTAGCTTTGAAAAGTTCTCTGTAAAAAGAAAAGTAGTTTTAACTTATGGGAAAGCATAGCAGCTAAGTGAAACAAAATTTGTCCTCTTAAAACCAGGTCATTTTAAAATTTAAAATGAGTGATTGTGGATTTAGAAACCTAAAGTACAGGCATGTAAATATTTTGAACTTCTATTTTTTATAACATCCCTCTTAAATCAGAGAATCTTGGTGAATAATGCTATCCCACTGTTATTTTGRTACAGCAACAATGAATCATCTCTATTACTCAACACATCCATTCTTAAAAATGCTGGATTGCCATTTGTACCATCACTGGTATTCTGGCATGAGTGTCTAGCAGAATTATACAGCAGGACAGAATTATAAGCATGAGAATTTTCAGGGACAAATGGGACTCCTGCTGCTCAGTTCCATGTAACTATTTCTGGACACTTATCACCTAATGGATTGTAGTTTCTGAAAGCCAAATAAAAAAATAGCTACYACACTGAAAAAGTCTCCTAAGTATCTATAGCTTTGTGGAAAATGTCRAAGTTGTTAAGGAAAAATGAAAAGCTATCTGGCAACCTGCTACCAAATTTCAAGTAAAAATGTAAGCTTTTGTTTCAAAATTTTGCTAGTCTCTCCCCATAATTCTAGTTCAGATGTCTTGTGCCCCTCCTCTCTTCTAAAGCTTAGTGTCTCTAAGTCTAGACACTTCTGTCCTAGCACATGCCAGACATCCTCACCAAGCCAACACTGAYACCCCTGCTAAGGACATGTCATGGGACCTAGATGAGAAACCATCCAATAGTTAGATATAGGAGACATACAAACTATTTTTTTTTCAGGGGTTTATGCTTTATTTAACTTCTCATKAAAATACAAAGAATAGATCTTTTAATGTAAAAATGTATGTTTTAACATATTTTACCAAGTTTCTGTCAGCACCTCGAATGCACCAAGAGAAACTGCAAATGCTTTTCGCCCCACCCCCTTGAGTCTGATCACTCAGGGTTAGTTCTGGCACTGCACARCTGTGAAACCTTGGATAAGACTGCGATGAAAGTGTTGTGCAAGAGTTGGGAGAACCCTTGTTCAGCACCTCTTCACTTGGGAGCTATACTAAAGACCAGACTGAATTTAAGGGCAAGTCATATAACTGGTATGCTTTTATCTGGCCAGGTACCTCACAGACCTAAAACTCACAGGTTTGACTCCTTGGCTTGACAYAGGACCTGGTTCATCAGTACAGATGCACCCGCAGATCTGAACTCTTGGCTTGACTCTCTTTTCTGTCATTGGGCCTGCTCTGTTCTCTTTCTTCAGGTACTGTGGGACTGCACSTTCATGGGTGATGCCACTGCCACCTTCCTGTCAACTCCCAGCTCAACTCAGTTGTGGAGTAGTTCACTTTAGCTTCTCCTTAAGTGTCAAACTCAGTTGTCAAATGAAGAGGGGRAAAAAAATCAAATGACTTTTCAGACAGCACTTGATGAAAGGTGGGTGGTTCTTTCTATCAATGTTGCTATTAATTCAGCCCAAAAAAATTTAGAAAAACATAGTATGTTCATATGTGTAAGTATAAAGATCAGTACTCACGCAGAAGTTGTCTGCATATCATGCCAGCTTTTGCTAAAGTTCTGCTTCAGTTCATTCATCAGACTTATGCCAAGTTTTTGTTTAATTTCAACCAGGTGCTTCTCTTTGGCTGCTAACACTTGCCGCAAAGTTGAAATTTCATCCTCTAGCTGAGGAAAACAAGGAGAAAGGAGAAAGGTGTTAGCTTCTCCCACAGAAGGATAAACACATASGATGTTAGAAGGCTAAATGAATCTCACCAACTTGTGCTTTTGGCAGGTAACCAGAGAGACAGAGCCAAGTGCTTGTGGAGATCACAAAGCCGTGCCCACAACAGACCCAACATTACAGTAAATTAATGCCTCAAACTGTGTCACCTGTGTGCACCATCACACACGTGCATCTGATAASAGAGAAAATTATCTGCTAAGGAAGCGACTTCACCAAGATTTGCCTTAGGGCATTTGGGATCTCAAATAYTCATCTTTTAATTCACTAGTAAAATGGGAATGGACAGGACAAAAGAAGACTGGAAAATTCAAGCAAATATGTGTCTTTGAATACACAGGCTTTTAACTTCATATTTGCAARTTTTTAGTTTTCTGGTTCTGAAAAAAACCAGACACAAACTCTTAGGAGCAGGTTAAAAAAATAGAAAAAWTGCATGATAACATATGACTTGAGAATATTGCAAAAGGTTATAACCTTCTTGTATGAGTTTTATTTATGTATTTTAGGCCCTACTTTTTCAAAATAGTAGCATAAAAATTTATAGRTGGACTTATAACATGAGCAATCAGTACCCAAAGCATAAAAGCACTCCGAGGACACAGCAGATTAGCYTATCCAGAGATCCTAGTATTTAACCAAACTGCAGTTTCAAGTTGTAAAGATGCCATCCAGCCCAAACACAGAAATATAATTCTCCCTCTGGTAGACATTTTTGTRAAACATCTCAACAGTCAGTGTTTCAGCAAGGCAAGAACCAGAACACAGGACTGTGAGAAGAGGGACTGGAGAATCATCCTGCCACTGGCTCAGAATCCTGCTCCTTGGGCAGCACTCCTGCAAGTGAGCAGGGGTTTGCATTCTTCACCTGGAAGCCTCCCAAGCCAACCTATACAAGCAGCACGCAGAGATACTGAAGCTAACAAGGGCAAGTGACACCAGAGCTGCTGCCTTTCACTTCAGGTTTAGAAATTCYCTTACCAACTGTGTTCTTTCCTCCATATGTTAGTAGGACAACATATGGCAATGTATCTGATTACCATATGCTAAGTTCCCTGGAACCACAGTCTCCCTGTGATTTAGCTCCATAGGCTGCAGGGAATGATGCAAGCACCAGCTGAAACAGTGCTGACCTYCAAGGCTATATTTAGGACATTAGTACCAGCATTATTTTTATTTTATACATTCATGCATTCTGTTTCACTGTAAAACTGGCTTCAAGCTCATTGTTCTTGGAAAACCTTGAATCCCCCAGTTCTCAGTTTCTTTTGTCACTACCTACTATCTAAATATTCAAACATCTCAGGAATTAAGCAGCAAGACTATGAACACAAAGCAAAATCATGACCTGAGTGAAGCAGATAGCAGTATTCACCAATATCTGTGATGCCAACTCTTCATCAGTAAAATACACAACAATCCAAATTGCTTTACTCCTCCCCATGTTCTTTATGCTCCATTATATTCCTAACCTGCAAATGGAATACTGTCAAGAGTCTCTCTTCTGAGCYGATAACTGGTTAAATGCTTATAGAAAGAAATCACAAATATCAGCGTTCCTCAGGCAGCAGTTCACAGCTCATTTTAGTTTCCCACCAGTAGCAAACCCCTTAGTGCRGGACTGCCCATGCAACACTACTAAAGAAATTAAAAGGATGCCAGGACACTGATGGGCCAGCATTAGGCTGATCACTAGGTACCTGGATATGTAAATGTTTCAGGGCTTCTATTAAAATTCCTTTCCATCTATTCCATTGAATAGACATCAAAAGCTGTGAAGGCCTAAGCAAGCATTAGCTATGTGCTCAATGGCATAAGTATAAGCAACATTTTTGACTAAAGAAAAGTAATTTATTATTTATAACACAGCAATCAGTTTTGAATTGACAAAATCCTCCTCAACTTCCATCATTTTGAAACAATGACAGACACAAAGCCGCCCTCAAGTGCTCAAATATCAGTGACTGAACACTCTAAAGTAGGTAGAAAGGATTAGGGACTTACAGTAGGATCTGAAAAGCATTTAACACACCTAACTCTCATGGAAGTCAGGCATCACCTGCTTAGTTATTTTCTAGAAGTCCACTTATATAAATGTAGACTTCATTATAAAACTAAGGCTTAAGTCAACAGAAATGCAAGATTCTAGTTCTCATGCTTCCCTTCTTTCAAGGTGCAACAGTGTCAGAAGAATATAGGTGCATCACAGAGGGACAAAGCTCCCTTTTCCCATTAAAATTTYCTTTTGCAGAAAAAGGTCTGTCTTCAAACTGGGAACAAACATGCAGTAATACACTCTGCTGAACTTAGCACCTTTGCATCAACCAAATCAAACCAGATAGCTGCTTTTGTGAAGGTGTGGGAGGGGGAAGACACCAAGGAGTAAATGACTACTTTGATGAGCGTAATGGAAGGACAACTGACAGCAGTGAGCTAGGGAGCTCAAAATCTCAGCCCCCAGCATGAGTCAAGAGTCATTGTGCAATGCTCCTCACAGTAAGGGAGGAAGGGAGGAGGGGGGGAATCTGTTCTGCTAACAATCTTCTGGCCTTATGTAAAGCTTTTGGGCCACAATTTTCTGCTATTATTCTGAAGTCAGACTGACCTCTGTAAATTCAAATGACTGTTAGAAGTTTCTGTAAGAGTTACTCATTTTAGTTGCATTGTAGAAATCCCAAGGCTTGATTAGAGTGAGAGCCCTGCTGTGTTAGCCAGCTACAAATACAAGAAAAGAATAAGTTCATGCTCTGAGAAGCTTCCAGCAAAAAGAGACTACTAGCAGGAGAATAGGAATAGAAGATACCAAAAAATCCTGCCACAAAACCAGCAGTGCTCGTTTCTCCTAATGTCGGAGTGGGAAGGAGGAAGAAGACAAAGAATATATACAGCAGACACACAACAGATGCTCACAACAGATCCCCGTTATATCAACTATTAACAGCAGAATWAAGGACAAGTTTTACCTCTCACAAAAAGTAAGAGAGGTACTTGCTCCTACAGACACATAGAGTTATTATGTAGCATTTAAGGACATGGGAAAAAACCAAAACTATCATTGGTGGAGTAGAAAGGGCTTATAAGTAATTTTTTCTTTTTGAAGGAGGCAAGGTCATGCACTTTTTGCAGTCTTTTCTAAGAGTCATAAGCCTCATTTAAGTTTAGACTTTGTTCACTCTACATTCAAGTTTTCCCAAACCTTTCATAGCATAATTATCAGGTTTATTTTGCTTTTAAGCATCAGTTGCATACCAGTAAACTGCTGCGAGGAATTCAGAAAATAATTCCTAGGTCAATCAAGATCATAATATTTGAAAGGCATGTTAGTACACGAATTAAAGCATTTCCAGCATTAGCTACTGAGAACTCTCTCTCCTAGGGGAATCATAAGCAAAAAGGACAACAGAACTCTTGAGATTAATTATTTTGAGAGATGTATTTCATTCTCAGATGATTGCAGGAGATTCTGGCTTTTTTCCTTCCTTGCTTGTATCTGCCTATGAAATTCTCTTCATCAGAGAAGAGAATCACAGAATGGCTGAGGCTGGATGGGACCACTGAAGGACATCTGGTTCAAGCCCTACTAAGAGCATGTTTCCCAGGTCTGTACCCAGACAGCTTTTAAATACTTTAAATGATGGAGACTCCAAAACATCTTGGGGTACACTGCTCAGTCACAGACTCATTAAAAACATATTTCCTGATCTTCAGGGGAAACCTCCTGTGTTTCAGTGTGTGCCCAGTGCCTCTGGTCCTGATCAAAAGCCAGTAACGAATATCCCAACTCCTAACTTATGTGATAAACAAAAYATGTAAACTTTCAGCTTCCTTTTGATTGTTTACAGATGTGACTGGATCAGCAAAGAAGTAAAAATTRACTAGTAACTCAGAAACACAAGGATTGATAAAATATTAAAGTGAAAAAAAGTCTTCTGTTTCACTTGAAAATCCTGAATCAGCACTTCMCARTGTCCTGAGTTCCTGACTCCTAAARAAAGATATTAYCTTCTCCAAASACATCAGTGCCAAARGAAACAAAAATATGATAACATTACTGTGCTTGGCAGCATCAGTCTCTYCAGTAACCATCATCATTACCTTTTCCTCTGAGCACCAAAAAAAATCTTTTCTATGAGATGGCACAACCATTCTAACAACAATACCACAAATCTAATGAGAACACCTTTAATTCTTTGCCAATGACAGTTTATTARTTAAGACACATCTTGACTAAGATGGGAAGGTGCATTTGACTTTTGCTGCACAATCATCRAGTAGAAGATATTTAACCTGCAAAAAATAGATATAATAAAATTAATTTCTTCACATTATTGTAGCCTAGAATAATTTTACCAAAAAGGAAGAGCATACCTTTATGATGTGTACCTCATCCYACAATTAATGGCTTCCCGTTTAAGGAAGTAGAAACAGTAACACAGAAATTCAAATTCCTTACYTTGGCTAGCTCAGTCTTTAACTCTTCTTTTTCTTCTTCAGAAATCACACTGGTGAAATCAACATCAGCGACCACATCTTCATCTACTTCATGCAACGACTGAGTTTCCAACAGGCCTGAAAAAGTTAAATGGTCAAGAAAACCATTATTATTTATGGTATTGTCCTCCCCTAAAATCTAAGAATAATTTAATATTCACCCATKAGGAAAAAAAAAAAACAACAAAAGAAAAACCAATCTTTTCCTGCTACAATCATTTGCATTCTGCTCCTCTTTGCTTYTGAAAGCTATTCAAAATATCAGAAGGTAATGTCTGCACAGAAGAAATTTAATATGTGTAAGCACCAATTATTCCCAGAAATCAATCACCTTGGACCCCACTAATCCCTGATAAGGCATTTTCTTGCTTCTAACAATACAGAAGAAAAAAAGAAAGCATTTTCTTCAAAATAAGAAAGCTGGCTAATGTGTATCACTGATGTGAAGAGGAGCAATAGTACATTGAATAATAAAGAAGTATATTACTGAGCCAAGTTTTCTCTAAAAGTACCTCTGATTGCAGCAATTTGAAACCTTACAGATGCACACAGTTTGCAGAAGTGAATGCACCCTATGTTCGAATTTTCTGAATGTTAGTGAGAAGCATTCGTTGATTGTTCAATCTAAGTCTGTGAAAGGGGGACAAATACACTGGACCTCCAGTTACTTTCTTCTTCTGCGTGCCCAAGACCAGGGTCAATACTTACAGCAAACAAGATAAACACATACATAAATGTTTGCATGATCTGGGCCTGCCTTGCATAATATGTACAGATGAAACAAAGTATTTCCTATCTCCCAGTCATTCAGTGAGAAGATTGCTGGGGTTCCAGCCACTTAAGAGCCTCTCATTCTTTATGGTCTGCGGAGAAGACAATGCAAACCATGAGRTAACAGAAAACATTCTTGTTACTTTGGAACTAATTTTAAAATTCTAGATCTTCTGTTGTGGAAGAAAAATCTCCAGGTTACACCTGGGACAGAACTTTTCCCTTTATTTCAGTTCCCCAGTGGGGTAATCAGCCATCTCTGCTGACTCCTGGCACCTGTATACTGCTTAATACAGAAGAGAATAATTCATTTTCCAGCTCCACAGAAGTCTGTATTCTCTATTACACAGAGATTAAAATACAATTTAGCTAAGTTTTGGCATTAAAGAACAGAGGTTAAAAGGAGTAAGTCTGTTGAAATTGAGTACATTTTCATGCAGAAAACTAAATTCCTTCCAGCCTTSTGCCATTTCCTTCACCTGGAGTCCCCCAGTGTACCTGGATTTCCTTCTGTTTAACAGAACAGAACTGATTTGATTCATGCCATCAATTTCACTGCAGAACACAATGAAGTGAACTCAGCCTTGTTAATTACAATCTTCCCTGAGTGGGAAGATAAAGAGCAGCAACACAGGTGCTGARCCCCTGCCTGGCACCATATGCAGAAATAGATCACCACCCTTAAGCATAAAACCTCTTTAAAAACATGAAAGCATATAGAAGCAGTTGAAATCTTAGCTATTATCCAAAAAGCAGTTTGCCAGGAAAACCTAGATTACTGAGGTTACAATAAAAGAAAAGCACATTTATTCAATAGAAATACTCTCAAAACACCTTTATTAACACCCCTACTTCTCTAAACACAATTGTTGTTTGGTATTTGTTTGAGCATTAATAGWGTTGCTATGGGAATCAAGCTTAACTTGATATTAGATTCATACAGAAAGAAGTAGGAGGTGGATAGCTAAGGGAACATGTTTATTGTGTTCTTGTGAAAGATTCATATGACAAGGTAATCAACAACCGTACAAGGAGTTCCGGTGTGCTGAAATGGGAATTTCTGAAGTTTTTCCCAAGGCTCATGGTAGTTGTGGCTAAGATTAGTGACCCTAATTCTRCAGGCTGTGGTTAAATCTGATTTAATGCAAGAAACTCTTTCAGCATTTATCAATACTTGTGCATGTTTGCCAGTACAATTGTAGGGCTGACGAATTAAGTAAGCCACTTAGAATTAGAGAATCTGTAACTATTCTGCAAAATTTAAATAACCATATAATACAATCATAAAATCCATGACAGATTGTTAGACTTACTCAGGTGTTGTAAGATTAATTACATAAAGATGTTCTAATTACTGCTTTTTATGTATTCTCTCTGTATTCATGTCAGGCCTGTGTTCCGGACAAGCATATACCAGACTAATCCATGTATGTAGACTGTTTAAAAAAGAAAAAGACACCCCCCAAAACCGTGAGAAAACCCAACAAAAGAGAAAGCTCACACTATAGGTGCAGATGTCTGTTGAATTAACCATAATGACAGGAAAATTAAAGAACATCAAATTTCTGTTTGTGTGCATTTTCTGACATTCATTCAGGAAAATATTTAGATGATCCTTTATTTTAACAAAACACTTAAGAACWGAAGAGCTTTTACTGCTCTGCTTTTTTGTTTCCCAACCAATTAATAATAGCATACCTACTTTGTTATCTAGCATTTATATCAAAAAGTGAGAAAAGAAATTATATAACCCTCTTAGTAAGCAGAATTACTTGTTACAGCTTTTTTTGCCATGTCATTAGACTTTCTTATTCGAATTTGGAAAACACTTGTTTACAAATTTAAATTGCAATTAATTCTTCAAAGGGATGAAATGGTAAGTAGAACAAAGGAACTGTCCAGACACTGCATTAGTGTCTTTGATCTTCTTTATAGTGTAGTCTTAATGCCAGATATAGAGATTAAAAGGGGGGTGGAGAAGGGGGACTAGAAGCATGTACTAAATAACTAAATTGATGAGAAAAAGCTATCAGAAGTTGCAAGGATTTTCATATCACTTTTTCCATTACAAAGTTATTATGGCAAGAACTAAATAGGAAAATATTTTATTACTTAATTCACCTCAAAAACAAGCAACTGAAGATCTTCCCTTCTGAGTCTGGTTCTAAAGGTGGAAAAGTCTGAACTTGTCTTGAACTTGCTAGGCCTGAGCCAAACAAYTACAAACAGCCTGCCATTCTCCTAAAGGACTTAGAACTCAGAATATAAGGTCAATTTTGGAGTTATGGTTGAAAAACAAACTCAGAACTTTGGTTCAGAAAGGGAAAAATTCAAGATGTGCATGTGATGTAGATCAAAAATGAAAACATTATGGAAAAATGTAGATTCTACTTGGCTCAGTARAACCATGTGGACTCGGTCGTCTTTTTGCTCTGAGTATGCTCCTTGGAAGAGAGAGATGGATGGGAAATTGTCATAATTCCCTCTTTCTACTGAGCTTTGGGCTGGGGGTRGGGTCAAGGAGAGGGAGGGAATACAGATTTTGGGTGCTCAAGAGTTCTAGGATGTAATCTAAAATCTCAGAGGAGGTATCCCCAGAYATCCTGGAGCAGCTTATTCCTGACTTTATTAAGGCTTTCCCTTCCATCTCTTAACCCCTGCAAACCCAAGCACCAAAAATATCTATCCATAGCTATGAGAYATGCTATGGCTGGTTTCCAAACAAAGGAACACTTGGATTTGAAGCTCCTGGAYAAACAGCCAGTCGTACAGGGCTGATTCTTATGTCTGCTTTAGTATAATAAAAAGAAATTAATCATACCTTGAGGATGTCTCTACCTTATTTTTCCCCCAGAAAACCGCTGACCCAGCTGCCAAYCTATGACAGTGAAAAGACAATCTACACACAAAACGCCAGCAGAAAAGAGACTCAACAGCTTGATCACTACACTGAGAAGCCATACACATTGATAAGGAGTTTGATAATCATCCCAAAGACAGAAATACAATGGATAAAAGTGAGAATAGCAGTAAAGGTAAAAAAAAAAATACATATTGCTTACTTCAACCTAAGATTCCAACCTAGGAAGTGATCTTCCAAGCAAAATAATTATCTGAAATGTCCAGGAATGCAAGGATGATCTTATACATTTTACTCAATTGCAAGCTCTCTTTGTATAGAATCATAATCCCACATTCCTGGGCAAGACAAAAGCGGTATTTTCAACCTGTAGCTATGGAAAAAMAAAGCATTTGCTGTGAAATGTAACAATTTAAAGACACTAGAACATTCCTTCTATTATATCAAACTGAAAATAATGGCAGCACTGTACAAATTTCTGTGCTTTCTGTTGATCTTGTTGCACAACTTTCTGTGAGGTCAATGGTAAGAAAAAAATGCCTCAAGTGGAAGAGTTATCATCTCTTTCTCTTTCTTTAGGAACAACAGGAGAAAAAAAGGAAAAAAGATGAAGTCACAATGGCATAATAGGGAATGAGAAAGTGGATGACACTGCATCACAAAAGGGACTTGTTCTCTACAAATAAGGTACTCTAGAAACTGTAACAGCATAAAACAAATGAAGGAATAATGCATATATAATCAAACTAGTGAAAAAGCAACGTAGGGGAAGATAAGAGCTATGACATGGAAATGCAAGCAGTCAGAGGTGGAAGTTGTCAGTCACATTTCTTAAACCCACCCTTTCATACTAAAAATACATGAAAGTACGTTTTTCTCATCTCTGAATAGAGAGGCACCTGGGGTCCCATCCTCAGCTGGTRGAAGTGACGGCAATCCCATCAATTGTATAATTAAGATCACGCATTTGCTTCACTGAATCAAAATCACTGAAACTTAATGGCAGGATTTAATAACCTTCCTTTCCTAAGAATGAATCAGTTTATTGTACTTTTCTAAAGCCAGGTGCAAAGGAATATAATTAGATAGCAATGTAACTGCAGTATAATTAAACTCACAAGCCTCCTCAATTAACTTCCAACAATGTATCTGTATTGTCAGAAATAATAAAATTATATTTTAATTAAAAAATAAATTCTTCAAGTGGTCACATTTTGTGCCCTTTTGATCACAAAACACGTAATTAACAAGATCTTTCAAAGTGTAATTTAAAAATGAGCAAAATCGTGCTGCAGCCAGCAGGTTGCTTGCTTTCCCCAGATCCCCATTCAGCTATTTCAGCATGTAAGGTAGATATGTCACTTCTGGTCCCACAAATATACTAGGGAAAATACACAGGAAACAATTATCACAGGGTACATGATAGATGATTTATTCTTTTCAGGCC